CAAAACATGGAGTAATCGGTGTAGCTAAACACTTGGCAGTCATGTACCCCAGTGTCGGACCGGTGTTTGGTTGACACTGGTGATCATCTGAGTCTTTCAGGCACGCAAGCAACGTCCATTCAGCTCGCAATGTGTCATTTCTGATAAGGGAAGCAGCAGGGCTGGACTAATACGCACACCTGTTTTGAGAGCAAGAGTTGGTATAGAGTTGAGAGTCGTGATAAGACCCCTTGCGACATGATTAAGTAGTCTACGGGGACTTAGTATTTGCTGGGACTATGAGGGGCGACGAGATTCTAATGGTGGAGTATAGACTAACTCGGAACAAGAGAGAGGGATGGGAAGAGGAAGCATGCAAGGAAATGGAAGCTCTTAAGTCAACTCAGAGAGAGCTTGCAGTTGAGATGACGAGTGAGAAGAAGTACATTGAATACATGTTTTGTTTCTGTGGACACGATGACAAATTACACAGTACCTGCTCGTGCCTAGAAACAATGGAACAAGCTAGGTTAAGGATCATGTCATAAATGATTATCGGTCTTTTAACTACAACAGCTGCGAACAAACGACATATGAGCGGCACTCAGAGCAATATCCAGAAACAGGATTGGTCCGGTAAACCTGTCAACCCAGAGAGCAGTGTTCGGCAGAGAAAAGATGCTCAACTTTGTTATCTGTGAACAGTGTTCAACACAGTTATCCGTGAGTCGGGCTCAGCGCTGTTGGCAATAATTAAATAACAGTACAATCAATTCCTCAATCAGTTTATCAGTCCATGGTTAATTGGGGATCAAACAATATGCAATCAATGTTTGATCTTTGTTACAACAATATCTTCGATGTTTGATAACAAGCTAGTAAATCTGCATTTTGCTTCCAGTCACTGAGTGATCATGACACGGTGATTATTACTCCAGTAGATCTCAAGCAACGTTCAGTCAGCAGTCAACTTAACAAATCAACTATCCAGCAATCAATCAATTTTTTGATTAGTAGTCATTCAGTTTTCTTGACTGACAGTCAATTAGAATTCAGAACAACAATCAAACAACCTATTGTTGACAATCGCCTGCTACTCTGTCCAACCCTCGACACCTGTAGAGCAGGCCACAGCTAAGCCTCACACTAGACAGCCTGTGGAGGAGTGAACACCCAGCGCTTTAATCAAGATCATCGTTATCGGCTGTCTACCCAATTCTCGGCCTGAGCCTTGAGAAAAGGGGGGGGGCATCATGAAAGAGAGTGAGGTCTTGGTGATAAAATGCCGAGTGAACAGCGACAGAAGAGAAGGATGGGAGGATGTTGCGTGCCGGGATATGGATGTACGAAAACAATCTCAGAGGGAACATGCCGTCAGGATAGTAGGTGAGAGGAAATTCATAGAATACGTGTTCTATTTTTATGACTGCGGCGGGAGGTTGCATAGTACCGGCTCGTGTCTAGAGGCGGTAGAGCAGGCCAGGGTGAAGCTCGAGCGAAGTTAGTGACGTGCTCCAAAGTTCGTTGTCAACAAGGAAATGTCAGTTCACAGCAATCATTCAGTCAGTTCTCAGAACAGTAATCAGTCAGCTCTCAACAACAACCAGTCAGTTTGCAGAACAACAATCATTCAGTCAGTTTTTAGAACAGCAATCAATCAGTTCTCAAACAACGATCAGAAATAGCAATCAGAAACGGTAATCAGAAGCAGCAACAAAAAACGGCATCCATAATAGTATTCAAAAGGCACTCAAACGGTGCACGTCTGTCGATCAAGCACGGTTACTTTTTTTTTTTTAGTCAGGGAGTGACGACTTGTCCGAACACATGAGAGAGATTAACCCCATCACTGTTGATCAGCAGGTCCTTGACAACCTCAACCTGATTGCTGCCAAGGAGAGCTTCCCCTACAAGTATGTCAGTATTGATGGGTTCAAGTGCGAAGATCTGCCTATCTTCACCGCCCATACTGAGTTCGCTGAGGGTACAGTCAGCGATCTGCGGATCTTTCTTAAGAAACGGAACGAGACACATCCTCATTTTGATGCAGTATGGGCCGCAGCAGCCGGGTTTGTGCAATGGAAAGTTGAGAGGCTCCAGGGAAACACAAAGCTAGTCTACAACTTTGGTCCTAAGCTTTTTAGTGACTACCCCAAGCCTCCGGTCCCCTACTACCTCACTGACGACTCTTATTGGGGTGGATTGGTGGACTTGGCCAAGATGTACATATCGCAGGCAGAGATTGACTACGAGGTGGTGACCGAGCCCTCAGAGTTTCCACATCTAAGGAGGGACATTTTCTCTCGGTCCTATCTCCCCACGTTATGGGAGAAATTTTGTGCCATGCTTGACTTCCGCATTATGGGGCTTGGCTGGAAGTGTCTGGAACTAGTGGGCTACAAGTGGCTTTACATTCAGAAGCCACAACCTCAGAGGGTACGGAGACATGGCAAGAGACCCAGACGACAGACAACAAAATGACATATGAAGAGTGAAGTTCAAAGGGTTGAGTGAGGACTCTTGATTGGTGTTGGCCATGCTCTCGTCCATATGTATTCCCTGAGACTATTATGGGTCCTCATTCTTCCCTCATTTATTTGCCCTCGTCTTTGCTCTAGTCGGTCAGTCTTGCTTCTTTGCATTGCCATACTTGATGTTTGCATTCTTTGACGATCTTGTCACAGTTCTCAAAATCAGATTGACATAATTGATGCATGCATAGCACCCTCATAATTTTTATAATTATTATTTGCATGATTCTCTGCTGTTCCGAATCAAAATAAAAGATTCATAAGACCGGGGACCGACGAAGACCGTAATTGAAGGGTCTCGCTCGAAGTCGGACGCACACAACAGGAAGGGATTTGTTTTATATAATTTATTTTATTTATTGCAACCACAAACAAAATCCTGCGTGACAGCCTGTTGGCTTTCCGGTCGCCCGAAGTGGCCCGACTGGAAAAAGTGCGACACCGTGTGCAGGATTAGCCCCCGAACCCCCATTTCGCTGGGGGCTCGCTTGTAGAAAGTGACCCCATCTGCCTTCTCCATATGTGTAAGTGTGAGCGTAGATTGCCCTTCCTCCAGAGCTGCCCCCTCCTCGCCAACCGCAGGTGATGAAGACGATGACGAAGGTGGTGGGGGGAGAGGAGAACTGATGGCCCGCGGAGTGGCAGATGGCCCCCCTTCGCCAACTGCTAGCGTTGGAGACGTAGACGACAAAGGCGTCGTCGTTCCTGCGGCCGCCGCGTGTCTTTCTCTCTCTCTCTTTCTCTCTCTCTCTTTCTCTCTCTCTCTTTCTTTCTCTCTCTCTCTCTCTCTCTCTCTCTCTCTCTCTCTCTCTCTTTTTCTCAATCTCAATCTCTGTCTGTGTGCGACCGCGAAGAATATGAAGAGGAAGAAGACGACTAGGAAGAAGAAGAAGAAGAAGACTAACACGCGGAAGAAGAAAAAGAAGAAGCGGCGAAGAGGACAAAGAAGCGGCGTCGAAATGGTGCTAGCCGCACAGACGAAGAAAAAGCGGCGAAGAAGAAGAAAAAAAAAAAGAAGAAGAAGGAAAAAAAAAAAAGAAAAAAAAAAAGCGGCGACGAAATGGTGCTAGCCGCGCATACGAAGAAAAAGCAGCGAAAAAGAAGAAGAAGAAACGGTGAAGAGGAAGAAGAAACGGCGACGAAATAGTGCTAGCCTCGCAAACAAAGAAAAAACAAAGAAGAAGAAGAAGAAGAAGAAGAAGAAGAAGAAGAAGAAGAAGAAGAAGCGACAAAGAGGAAGAAGAAACGGTGACGAAACAGTGCTAGCGGCGCAGACGAAGAAAAAGCGAAGAAGAAGAGGAAGCGAAAGAAGAAGAAGAACAAGAATAATCTCTCTCTCTCTCTCCTTGCGATGCTGAGGCAGGATAACGAGCGCTTGACGAAGAAGCGGCGAGTACGGAGTACCGAACGTACGTACACGAAACGTATATAAACAAGAGAGGGAGAGAGAGAGAGAGAGAGAGAGAGAGAGAGAGAGAGAGAGAGAGAGAGAGAGAGAGAGAGAGAGAGAGAGAGAGAGAGAG